ACAATAGTACGGTAACTAAAAATAAAAAAAATAAAAAAAAAAAAAAAAAAAAGAATTCATTATTATTCAGGATAATATATTCTGCCTTATTAATTTCATATTTTCTAATTTCTAATATTATCAAAATACTATAGTAAAATTCGAATAATATTTCGATATTCAATAATTCAATAATCATAATTCATAACATATAATTTCGAATATTAAATGAACATATTTATATAATTCTTTGTATATTTTATGATACATATTTTTTTTTTATTCTTGTCAACAAATTATATTATTATATTATATTTATGACCATTTCTACTTTATGATATTAAAGATATATGTAATATAAAAATTTAGCATTTTCTAATACGTCTAATTATAAGAATTTTACTATACATTCTTAAATATAAAAATTTGTATTTTTGTATATTTAATTTAATATCTTTTTTTGTATTATTATTGTATAATCATTTTTTTATTTACATAAATTTATAATTTATCATCTCGCTTACTTGTAAATCAGTAGTACAATCTTCAAATGCTTTGTTTTTATGCGTCGAAACGATTTCAAGCGCCCAAAGCAATTGGATGTATCTAAAAACGGCAAGACCACCTACAAGTTCGGCCCATATTAAAAGGAAAGCATCGCGTACCGATTTCGTTCCTTCGACAACTTCTTCGATGTGTGTATATGGACAAGCGGTAGCGTCACCCCAATTTAGGGACCACCAAATCGTCAGTACAAATAAATATACGCCATACATAGAAACACCCCAGTTGTCCGCAACTAAGGTATAATATAATTAAAATAACAAAAAGCACACATATATTACAAAAATGTAACATCTTTACAATTTAATTAATTTTATTCTTATTTTCTTATATATATATATATCGTAAAAAATAATTAGCTGAATAAATCTTTTTATAATAAATATTAACATTTTTAATATAATTATATATTGATTTTTTTTTAATTAATCTATTATTTTTGGATAATTTATTATTTTTAATGAATAAATTAAATCGAGTTATACGTGATAAATAAAAAAAATAATATTTAAATTTATTAAATCCAAAAATCATGTCTTTGCACACTAAAGATCAGTTCTCACTAATTTTAAATCCATAATGAAAGTATGTGAAAGATAAGTTATATCGTATATAAATACAGATTCTATTTGAGATTAATCTTAATTGTTATCGATAATTAAAAATCATGTCTTCGGTAAACTTACTTATTATCAATTCGAAACATGCTCCACAAAGTTCACCGGTAGCAATGCCTTCTAAAAATAGGGATCTTACGAACGGATCATGTATATAATAGTCAGTATATCTTCTCATCCAATAAGCTATGAGAGTTGTAAGTATAATGTACAGTGTAGAAACTGCTAGGGCAATTATTGTTGCAGCCATGGTGTTGATATATATATATTATATATAAATTTAATGTTATAAGATAGAAACTATAAAAGTAACAAAATCATGAAATTAGAAATTATAATGCAATTATATTTATAACATCTCTTTCTTTATATAATCTATAATCTAATCTAATTTAATTTAGTAATCTGTAATATTGTTTTCTATTAAAAATTTATTTTTATTTTGCATTTTATACTATAATAGCAAAATGTACATGTATGTATACATACATATTACAAATATTAATCTAAAAAAAATATAAAATAACACATCAAAATACAATTAATTTTAAACTTATAAATTATTACAGATAAATGTCACATGTATATATGTATAATATACAAGTAACAGGAAACTAAAAGAAGAACATTATGCAATAACAAACATTATGCAAAACATTATTCAAATTTATGATAATATTTTAAATGATTCTCAAAAAATATATGACGAAACGTTAACTTACATATTTATCATCGAATTTTATTCACTTTTACCATTTCTTTCAAATCAAATATTCGCACAATATCTATTTCTTGATCTTTTTCTTTATTTTGCACACACCAAGATTTTACTTAGCTGTTATTTAAAACGAACGAATGTAATTGAATATATCTGTGTGAATATGTCGCGTGGCTTTAAATAGCTAGTCTCTCAAATTATCTGATTGAACATTCACATCATGATGGTTATCAACTATTTTTCAGTACAATCATAAAACATAAAATATTTAGTAGCATTTTTATAAATATATAATATTAATAATAATGTATCACAAGTATAATATAATTATTACTTTGGAATTATTTAAAAACATCTTGTTCAATTTATTTTTTTTTTATATTATTACTTTTTTGTTTTACGTTTTAAAAAATCAAAAAACACAAAATAAATGTTTAATTTATACTTACAATAATTATTTTGTATTATAATCTTTTAATAATCATCTATTTTTAATAATAAAATAAAATTTACATATTTTTTTAATTTTATATTTTTCTGTTTCGAGACGATTTGGAATGCTTGAATAAAACTAACGCGCCAACAATTCTTGATAGAGTTAATTAACTTGAATGAAATAAAACGATATCCTAGAAATACATATTAAATGTTAACCAATCAAATAGTTATATTAAAAATACATTATGATTCAAAAATCAATTCAAAAATACCTCTAAATACAAATAATATATCAATTTTATAATATAATCTTTTCGTTTTGTTGATAGTGGCAAAAATTTTAATTACAACGTATACAGTTATGATTGGATGTTTTTATTCGTTTTATGAAGTATTAACTACATTTATTACATAGATAAATGATTTCATGTTTGTTTATGAATGTGGGATAACTTTAGCATTATAAAAAAGAAAGTAACATTTATTTACAAGAATCAAAAGACTCTCCTTTGTGCTTCTTGGCCATTTGAGAGTCACCTTGATTCTCTGTTTTCAACATTAACCTGGAAATCCGTTTCGATTTTAAGTAGGACATTGTTTCGCTTGATGATCTAAAATGAAAATTAATACTATTAAATAAATTTAAAAACGAAAATTTAAAAATATAAATTATTATGTATATTATATTATTATATAATTATATTACATTTATATAATAATTATATTACATAATATGTTCTGCAATGAAATCGAAAAATTTGGAAAACATTAAAAATCAAAAAATTATTTTAAGAAAAAAAAGATATATATTTATATAAATTACAATATTAAATAATATCAAAAACAAAAATGTTTATTATCTAAAATGTTATTTATTTTGATTGAATATTCATTTTTATACTAAAAATTTTAGAGATAAAATATTAATATGTAAAATAATGATATTAATAAGAATTGCTTATTATTTTCGCATGTCTGAAGAATAATTCAAAGTTAATAAAATTTTATAAAAAAATCAATTCAATTCAATAAAATATACTTATTAATACCTATCAAAATACTACAAAATATATATATTGCAAAAATATATTATAAAATTGAATATTTAATGTTATGTATTCAATCTTAAATACTGCATTTTTCTATGAGTTTATATTCTATTCTATTATATTAATAAAAATGCAATATTTGAAAATCGAATTTGGAATTGATTTATAATTTATAAAATAATTTTAGTTTAGAATAAATCATTAAATACAATATCGATTTTATTGCAGAATATTTAGCTTTTTAATTATAAAATTATAAAATTACCTCGAATGAGGAGCTTTAGTCTCAGTCAGCATTTCTGTCGAATTACTTTCAGACGAACTAGAACTTGTACATGGAGAACACGGAATGATCTGGTATGTAGTTCTATTAACTACTTCAGTACTTGGTTCAGTACTTTCCGTTTGATTTGGTATATTATTACTACTACGATTTTCTCCATCTAAAGTAGGCTTTTTTTTATCTTCAACATCAGTTTTTACAGATTTCGCATCAACATGATTTTCAGCCTTAATTTTTAGTTTACCATCTTGAGTAGGAAAGTTTACAGCAGGTATTGTTATATTTTTGTCTCCTTTTTTTGCATTCATCAATTTAATTAATAATTTTGATAATTCTTCCCTTTTTCTTGTTACTACTATTTCCTCAAACCAATTCTTCAATGTTTTTATCGGCAAAGTATAATCTTTAATGGGATTCTGAAATAAAAATTTATTATATATTATATATTCTATAATTCTTATTTTATTTACCTATTTAAATATTGTATACAATTATCTTATGAAATATTTATTAATCTAAAAGTTCTGAAATATTTTATTTGAATAATAAATAATTCAAGAGATAATTGTATATAAACATATAAATATGAATTCAAAAAATAAATTTACCTTAAAGAAGCTCTCCACATATTGTAATACATATAATCCGCAATCAGTGAAATTTGATTGCTGAGGAACTTTTAACGATGCTCCTTTAATAGTATCTTTTGAAAATACTTTTTCACATCCCATTTTTGCTACATACTCACAACTTAAATAATCTCTTAATGTAGCTACTACACGTGCTCTACTTGCTCCCGCAAGGGAGTCAAATATTAATATGCAGGGTCTATAAAAAAAAAAAAAAAATAGAATCATGTATTTTATTTGGGACTTAACAATTATTTTTAAAAATACTTACATTTTTACAGTATCTTTTTCCTGTGATACATTTTGTTCCGTTTTTGGCGATAAATTTTTATTTTCTGTTGTTTCTAATTCATCCTATATTAAAAGTCATTCATATTCGTATTACTAAGTTTTAATTACTAAATTTATAAATTAAGTATTAATTTTATTAATATTTAATTTATATATTTTTAATATATTCATAAAATTTTAAAATTGATTCTAAAGACCAAAAATTGATATAAATCATATGATCATAATATAATTTTCTAATTAATATTCTAATTAATAAAAATATTAATTGAATCTTTTTTATTAAATTATAAACCATCTAAATTTATGTAAGATAAAAAATTGGAACCATTTTAATCTATTTCTTTCATCTAACATAAACTTATTTATTACGTTATAAATCTCAACAATACTTTTTTTTATCAATTTTTGATATATTTTCTATTATTTTCTTTAAAATTGATATTTGAAAAGTATTTCATAAATATACTCATGTATTCAACATCCTGTAAAAAAAAATATTAATTTACTTACGTCATCTTCGCTATCCATTTCCATTTCTTCATCATCGCCTTCAGCTTCATCTCTTTCTGAATCATCATCATCCTGATCTATAGTTACAGTAGTTGTCACTGGTTTGAGTGTTGTACTTCCAATAGTAACAGTTTGAAGTTCTACTTCTTTTAATTTTTTACTTTTTTGTACAGTTTTACGAATATCATTTTCATCAGATCGTTTACTTTGTGCAAAAACTTTACCCACTAATCCAGGAAAACAAATAATAGCCAAAAACCAATGAGCACTGTAACATTTTTATACGTTAACATTTTATAAGAATTGTTATTTAATACTTTAATTTAAGGAAAAATAGAAAAAAATGTGCAATAAACAAACTTACTGTTCATTTATAGGAATTAAAATAATCTCTTAATGTAGCTACTACACGTGCTCTACTTGCTCCCGCAAGGGAGTCAAATATTAATATGCAGGGTCTATAAAAAAAAAAAAAAATGAATCATGTATTTTATTTGGGACTTAACAATTATTTTTAAAAATACTTACATTTTTACAGTATCTTTTTCCTGTGATACATTTTGTTCCGTTTTTGGCGATAAATTTTTATTTTCTGTTGTTTCTAATTCATCCTATATTAAAAGTCATTCATATTCGTATTACTAAGTTTTAATTACTAAATTTATAAATTAAGTATTAATTTTATTAATATTTAATTTATATATTTTTAATATATTCATAAAATTTTAAAATTGATTCTAAAGACCAAAAATTGATATAAATCATATGATCATAATATAATTTTCTAATTAATATTCTAATTAATAAAAATATTAATTGAATCTTTTTTATTAAATTATAAACCATCTAAATTTATGTAAGATAAAAAATTGGAACCATTTTAATCTATTTCTTTCATCTAACATAAACTTATTTATTACGTTATAAATCTCAACAATACTTTTTTTTATCAATTTTTGATATATTTTATATTTTTTTCTTTAAAATTGATATTTGAAAAGTATTTCATAAATATACTCATGTATTCAACATCCTGTAAAAAAAAATATTAATTTACTTACGTCATCTTCGCTATCCATTTCCATTTCTTCATCATCGCCTTCAGCTTCATCTCTTTCTGAACCATCATCACCCTGATCTATAGTTACAGTAGTTGTCACTGGTTTGAGTGTTGTACTTCCAATAGTAACAGTTTGAAGTTTTACTTCTTTTAATTTTTTACTTTTTTGTACAGTTTTACGAATATCATTTTCATCAGATCGTTTACTTTGTGCAAAAACTTTACCCACTAATCCAGGAAAACAAATAATAGCCAAAAACCAATGAGCACTGTAACATTTTTATACGTTAACATTTTATAAGAATTGTTATTTAATACTTTAATTTAAGGAAAAACAGAAAAAAATGTGCAATAAACAAACTTACTGTTCATTTATAGGAATTATAATAAAATCTTTTTCAAATATGTTGACATTTTTCGTCCACTTTTGAACTCTTGCATGTCTCTTAGCAGCGGGTGTAAGAGGCACATTGCTTTCAACTGCTTGAGTGTGTGGACTTGTCAATCGCTTATAAAAATACGAACTAAATACATGAGTTCTCTGTTGATCAGATTCTGATAGAACTTCCAATGTCAAATATTTTAGATAGAAGTCTATAATTACATCATTTAAAAATTGATCCTCTCCAAGACATAAATAATCCTCAGTATTAATAGCTATACCACCTTTGGCAGGTGGTGGTGGGTATACAGTTATTCTATAAACAACAAATATATTATATTATGTTTATGATTTATATGAAAATATTTTAATAAAATATTTAATAAAATATTATATGGAAAATACTAAGAAATTTTGTAAAATATTAAAATGGCATCTATTTAATCAATTCTTAAAATACTCCGAAAATTATAAAAGATATATAGGTATATAGATATAATAGATTCACTGCATAAATATACTATAAGTATAAGTAGTATTTTCTATATATACTAATATTTGATATATATATATATATATATACATACAAATATAATTAATAATTTTTATTTTATAATTAATTTTATTACTTACGTTTGTATACCACCATTTATATTCAAATTAGC